CGTATTTGTGTAATTTTTGCGAATACATACATACATACATATACATCTATGCATAAATACAAAGTGTGTCTTAGTGTCTGTGCCTGAATGGACAACAGACCAACCATAATTTATGGAGCACCACGGCTACGTCACTCTGACGCTACCTGAATGCCTAACTGCATACTGCAACAGAGAACCTGGGGCTCTTTGTTATTTTAAGAGAGAGAGAGCCCAGGGAGAGCCCCAGGTTGGGGAAGACTGCTGTAGGAGACCTGGTCCAGGGTTGTGAGTGCTACAATAGGACAATGTCTGTGTTAGCAGTAGGAAGCTTATTGCAGTGTTGGTTGCTCCACAGTAGGACTGTAGACTGAACTCCTGCAGGGAAGACAAGGAACTGCTACAGGTAGGCTGCCATGGAGACCAGTTAGTGAGCCTTATTAGATAGCACACCTGGGGCCAGCCCTGTTGAGTCACCTGACTGGAAATGGGCAGGGCATGGGAGAAGGATAAGCCAGAGCCAGAGCCAAGGCAGTCAGTCTGGCCCTGGAAGCTGAAGAACGGGGGGGATGTGTGGGGAGATGCCTGTTGCTGAGAGATGGACTGTGAGCATGCTATGCCTGGAGACAGCCCGTGAAGGGCTGAGGCCCAGTAGCGGACTAAGGCCCATGGCTGGATAGGAGTTTTGGTATATGGCCAGAAGGCTAGAGGTTTAGTTCTAGCCAGAGTACTTTTTAGTTTTAGTCTTAACCGGTGATTTGGGTTTGCGACTGTCAGGGGAAGGCAGCGGTTCCAGTAGTGCCTGAGGGCACAGCAGTGTCTTGAGCCCTACCAGGGGCTAGGGCAGGGGCGCAAAAAATATGGTTCCCCTGGCCCCACCCTTCTCTGCCAATCAGTGGTGAGGGTGGGGCTGCATGATGGGCAGCCCTTTCTACCAATGGCTAGTGAGGGCCAGAGGTGCTGGGTACCCTTGGCCAATCAGGGGGCTTACGCCCCCAAAACATGAAAATACTGTACTTGTCTCAAAATGTGTGTACACACATGACTCTGTATGTAAACCTGTGTGCATGTATAGGCCTCCATATGTGTGCAGACAAGTATATCTGGAAGTGTGCAGGCACTTGTATATGTGTATACAGTTTTGTGTTTTCAGACATAACAGGTGCATCTGTAAGTCTGTATGCACATACATGTGTGTTTGAGTGGATACTTATGTACATGTGCAAACATATGTTTGCAGACATAAATTTGTGTTTGTACTTGTCCATGTGTACATACCAATCTGTGTCTGAATCTGATCAGAACATTTCCACCAATCAGATAACAGCTGGGAGGGGCTTGCTCTGCCCCTGCTCAGAGATGGGGGTAGCAAGGAGCCCCTGGACCTGATTGAAGACGGGGCTTTGCAGGTCTGGCAGACTTCAGGGGCGGGGCTTCCAGTGTAAATAAAAGCCCGGCATGCTCAGCATGCTGGGCAGACATGGTGAGGGATGGCGAGGAGAGAGGAGCTCCGGAGAAGACCATCATCGGGACCCCACCTGAGCCTCGATGGTGCGTGGATTGGTGCACAGTACTCAGGCTCTGGGGGGTGCCTGAGGCAGCTTGAGCCTGCAAACCCGGCAAGCTGCTGAGTGAGGCGGTGCATGGATCGGTGCACGGAGAGCTGGCCCTGGGAGCAGCTTGAGGCTGCTCAAGTTAGCCCCGGCTCTAGGCCAGGTAACCAGAGCCCTGCAGTATGGCTCAGCATTAAACTAAAAGAGCCCCTGTGTCCAGAGCAGGGCCTGGGAAGGGGAAAGATCCCCAGCGTGAGGCTGGGAACCGGAGCCAGTGGGGGCCTGGCTCCCATAGGAGCTCCCTGAGTGCCCAGCACGGGGCCCAGGGCCCAGAGGGAAGGACCCTCAACTCAAGGCCGACAGCTCCAGGAGGCCTGTGATGGTGTGGGGACACAGAGGCCAGATTGACAGCCCCCAGAGGAAGGACCGTGAGTTACCGGGAACCTGAGCCCCACAGGGGAGGTGTCCCCGGGCAAGGGACCCTGGGAGGAGTGGGCAAGGGGGAAGGCCCCACACACCCTCCACTCTCCAGGGTCAGAGGGGAGGAGACCCCAGATATACACTGGGGAGGGTTCTGTGGAACCCCCAGGGGGCCTAGCGGGAGAAGACCCTATCCCATTTGAGGGACCAAGTGGTTGGAACCCAGATAGGGTGTGTCTAATATCTGGTATAGTTACGTTTCCTATTTGGTATCTATTGTTATTGTTGGTGTTATAAATAGTTGGGTATATTAATTCTGTATAATGGGCTCTGTAAGGATGTCTTTATTAGCTAATGCATTTGTGGTAGAAACTTGCTGGATTGACTGTCCTGGGATTCACCCCTCTTCTGGGACTGAGGCACAAGTACTTACCCGAATGCCCTCCCTAGGGCAGACTTCCTCTTACTAACAGAACTTTATATGTATATTTGTATCTATACCTGTAATTGTATCTATCTTAAAGAATTTTGTATAGAAATGTTGGTAACTCAATAAATTGTATATAGTTAAGAACTTTGGGCCTGAGCTAACTCTATAGAGGAAAGAGGGATCCGCTCAAAATTCTGGCATCCCTCTCACAGCACCCCCTCCTGCCTACCCAACCTACCCAACTGAGAATAGGGCACACCCTTGGGTGTACCCAGGTTATGTGTGTATGCCGTAAGATGTGTATTTGTATGACTACATATGTTTCTGTGTGCATAACTGCATTTGTATTTGTACCTAAACTGCACATGCATGTATGCCATGTATGTATGCTTGTATTGTATTTTTATGAATGTGTGTATATATGCATATGTGTGTTTTTTCATGCACATTTGTGTGTCTAAATCTGAGGCATGTTTGCATCTGTACTTGTATGCATGAAGATGGTTGTGCTTGTGCTTATCCATGTGTTTGTATGCAATAAGGGCCAGAGTCTATTATGCCTTTTGGGTGTCTAAGGATGGGGACACATGTAACAACTGAACTATTCTAAAATGTTATTGATTGGGAACTGGTTCACAATTGTTGCAGGTCAGAGGTGCCCACACATACAGTGCTTCAGTATTCTAGATAGTACAGTCATCTTTTAGGCACTGAAGTGCTGGGGCTCTGACACCAACAGTTAGGAGTGAGCACCCAGCCATAACTGAGAGTCCCGGAGTTGGAAGACCTGTAGCTGAAGGGCATTTTCACTTTTCTGCTTTCCCTCCCATCTTAAACATGAATTCAGTCAAGTTCAATAAACTGGGCTTGACCAAACTGAGGTGTGATCAAGGTTGTCTCGGGGGGGGGGAGGGTGCAAATCAGGGTGACTGCCCTGGGCCCTGCGCTTTGCGGGGGGCCCTGTGAAGCTGGGCAGAGCAGCTGTGGCAACTCTACGCCGCTGGTTTCACATCTGGCTGCTCAGCACCATCCCCCTTCGCTGCTGAATCCACTGCCCCGGGCCCTGCACCCTGCTCGGGTCATCTCTGGGTGTGATTGCCTGACCTGGAGTGTGGGAAATGAGGGAGTGCTTGGTTCCAAGCCTTGGGTTCCCAGGGTCTGGGGGACATGATGAGGGGGTATAGTCAAGTAGGGAGTGAGGACACAGCTGGTTATTAGAATGATAGTTTTTATCTGAACAAACAGTGCAAGGGAGCTCATTGATTAACAAGTGCCAACAAAAGAAGAAAAAAAAGGAGGGGGCACAGTAAATTTCTTCTGGTTATCGGATGTCTGTCTGTGGCAGTGTGGGATGTCTGAAGGTCCAACCAGACTTGCATTATAGAACACTAAGGCTGCTTGCAGACATTAAAAAAAACACAACATGACAAACAGCGCTTTATTTTAACCTCTGCACACCCCCATGCTGAGCCCAGTACATGGCCAGACAGGCATCACGTTAGTGGGACCCAGCTCGCTTAACATCTGCATAGATTGGGCACTTTAGTAGGGCTTTTTGGGTGCTTTTATCTAATATCTGATTGAATCAACTTTAGAGAAGTGTCAAAAAGCCCCACTGAAGCCTGTGATCTATACAGATACTGTGGAACCAGGTTGAAGTAATGTGCTGCTGCTTCCAGTAAAGTGTGGGTTGTTTTTGTTTGTTTGTTTTTAATGTCTGCAAGCAGCCTTAGTATCCACACACAGAATTGATCCAGTTCACGTTGAAATGTTTCAAAAGAGTACTTTATTTTCCACTTTTGAGCCATTTCAGGCAGTTAAAGTGGGTTTAACAGGTTTATATGTCTATCTGTTTCAGGTCAAACTGCATTTAAACTGATTTGTGTTACATGTGTCCTTACTCTTAATAGACTTAAGTATCTAAGTGTGATTCTATTCTGTGCTGTTCAAGCCCTGAAAATCCATTAATATGCCTCTCTTGTAACTCCTTGTCATCTCACCCTTAATACTGAATCACAAAAAAGCAGAGAGGAGGAAGAAGATCCATCTTTTGTACCCTCTTTTCAGGGACTTCAGCAGGATGGAATAGAATTGCACTCATGTGCCTAAATCCACTTATGTGCCTAATATGTGGAATAAAATCTGGCCCCAAGTCTCTAAATGTAATTCCATTTCAATATGTGCAGCAGCTCCAAAACTGTTTCAGTGTCTAGATTCTTTAGGACAAGGAAAAGAAATTACATAAGCTGGTTTAAGTGATCAGAAACTGGTTCAAATCTGTAACACAACAGAAGTTCAGTGCACATAAACCACTTTCAAAATGTCTGAAACTGGTTTAAGATAAACCTGGATGGATGTATTATCAGATTTAACTGATTTAGGTTAAATCAGTTTATTGAACTTCTGTCCCAGATCCCCTCCAGATTCAAGTTAACTCACAGGCCCCCAGAATCCCAAGATGCTTTGCACTTCCCCTGCAAACTCCTCTTTGCTTAGTGGCCAGGTCAGACTGGGCCACTGCAGGCATGTGTCTGCATTTCTGGAATCAAGTGAATGCTGGTTCACCTACCTATTGGTGCAATCTATGCAGTTTAGACTAAACTGCAAAGATTGAATCAACTCAGCCTTTGGTTTTTTGACTGTCTGTACTTAGTCTAGTTGTCTAATTCTGCCTGAGCTCTGTTGTGATCCAGTTCCATTTTGGGAAGCTCATAAACACCACCTAAGTTCCCAAATCATTCAATAGTAAAAAACCCACATAGAGTAATTGTTTGACGTCATGGTGGTGGTGGTCATCTTTTGCTCAATGCCCTAATGATTAAGGCATTTTCCCAGGACATGGGAGAGACTGATTCTTGATCCTTCTCAGATTAAGACGATTCAAACCTATATCTCCCATTTCCCAGGAAAGTGCCCAAACCACTAGGCAATATCTAGGTAGGCCTGAGGGCATCGTCAGTCCTTCCTGTTGAAACCTGTAAGGAATACAAGAGTCATGGAGTCAGAAGGAATCTGTGCAAGAGGGAAAGTGACTTTTTTGCCATTTTTTTCTGATGACTATTGCAAAATACACAAGCAGCACTGAGGACACTTAACATTCAGAAGACAAAAGTCCTCCATCAACAAGATCTTAATAAGCAGCCCCCAGCTCCAGTAATTCAGATTCCTGGTGAAACTCTGGAGAATGTTCAGTATTTCCCATACCTCAGAAGCCATCTCTTGCATAAGGCTTACATTGACGAAGAAATCCAACGTCACCTCAAATATGCAAGTGCAGCCTTTGGATGCCTGAGGAAACAGGTGTTCAAAGATCATGACATCAGATCCGAAACCAAGCTTTTGGTTTATCAAGCAGGTGTAATCTCCACCTGACTGGACAGAGCGGAGACGTGGACAATGTACAGGAGACACCTCAAGTCATTGGAGACGTACTATCAATGCTGCCTTCGGAAGATTCTTCAAATCTAGTGGGAAGACAGATGCACGAACATTAGCATCCTCTTGCAAGCAAACACACACAAGCATTGATGCAATGATCATTCAACATCAATTTTGTTGGGTTGGCCATGTCATCTGGATGTCTGACTCCAGACTCCCAAAGCAGATTCTATTCTCCCAGCTCAGTCAAAGCATGCACTCAAAAAGAGGGCAGAGAAAGCCCTGCAAGGATGCCAACTTGAAAAAAGTGGACATCAACATCAGCTCATGGGAGACTATCACCCAGGACCACCCCAAATGGAGAAAGAGTCTGCTGCAAGATTCTCAGTACTTTGAAACCTAATAATGACAACAGAAGATGGAAAAGCAGGAGTGGCAGAAAATGCATGTTCCAGACCAAATCAAGAATCCAGAGCCTCCCACCCCACACAGAAACATGTGCCCAAATTGCAACAGAGTCTGATCCCAAATTGGCCTTGTCAGCCATATTCGGACCCACAGATAGGACAATCATGGAAGTCGGTCATCCTCAACTGTGAGGAATTTCCAAAGGAGAAGAAGAAACAGCATTGGGAACAGGGGCCAAAAACCAGGGCTCCCCCCTCTTAGGAGGGTGCATTCTGACCGTAACAAGTAAGCAGATTAAGTAACTTTAAAAGAAATTGAATACATATGGGTGTAAGCAGATAATTTAACTCTTTCAGGTCCTCTCTACACACTGTACAGAAGGAAATAAAGTCACCTGCCCAGGCCATGCCTGTAACGGAGTCAGGGACTCCTGTTACTTTAAGAGGAGAAAGCAGTAGGCTAAAGCACAGGTTTTCAAGCTTTTTCTTATTGCATACCCCCTTCCAGTTTTACCAGCTGCACGCATACCCGTACCAGCATACAGTTTATATTTTAACCCCTTAAATGCCAATTATTATTATAATGAAAATTAAATCTGCCATTACACAATTGCTCCTGAGGACCCCCCAGAGATGTCTTGCATACCCCAGGGGTACATGTACTACAGTTTAGGAACACCTGGGCTAAAGCATTCAGCAGGAGATAGCTGAAATGGGGCAAGCTGCATTTTGGATAAGCAGCTGGGAGAGACAGCCCAGCAGTAGGGATGCAGACCTCGAGGCCTAGTACTGCTAGGTAACCAGGGAGGTCTGCAGGGCCAAAGCTGCTTGTTAGGCTGACCAAAAACAACTGTGCCCATTTTCAAAGGCAGCAGGCAGATGACTAGAAGGGGCAAGGCTTGGCTGTACATAAGCCCAGCTTCTGGGCTGGGGCTGGCAGTCCTCTGCTTTAGGCTGCAGGAGAAAGAGCCGACGGCAGAGCTGGCTGTCAAATATCCTGTGAGCTGGGGGATCAAGTCAGCTCCTGGGGGGACTGGGGCAACTGTTATAGCCTTGAGGGCATTTGGGATGAGTTGTAACCAGAAGGTTAACACTTTGTTGCAGTTACTATTATTTTTTTGCATGTTTATGTTTAAACACTAGAGGACTACATATATAAACAGCTATACCCTGTACAGGAGAGATCATGCTGAAAAAAGGGGCGGGGTGTAGCTCTCTGTGTGAAGAAGAGCTACATATCCCTACAAGCTGAGATTGGCACTCAAGGAGGATGACTGGAGACCTTCTGGGTTGGAATATAAGGCGGATGTGGTGAAGGGGATACAATGGTAGGAGCCTACTACAAACCTCCAAATCAGGAACAAGAAGAGCTTGACCATGAATTTGCCAGGGAACTGGCCGAGGCTGCACACTCTTGGTGCATGGTTGTCATGGGAGACTTCAACTACCTGGACAACTCATGGGAAGAGCACTCAGTCAAATCCGATTGGTCCCAAAGCTTCCTCACATGCGTGGATGAGCTTTATCTGTCTCAAGAAGTTTATGGGCCAGCAAGAGTTAAGGTGCTGCTGGACCTGGTACTGGCCAAAGGGGATGATCTAATCAGTGATCAGGAATTGAAGTGAAGCTGGGTGACTGGAAAAGGGCCAATGTGGTTCCCATTTTCAAAAAAAGGAGGAAGGAGGACCCAGGAAACTATAGGCCACTTAGTCTTACCTCGATCCTGGGTAAGCATTTTGAGAGAATTATTCTGGCACATGTCCGCGAGGGGCCAGCAGGGGAGATTATGCTTAG